ACCACATGCCACAATTAAAGGTCTCACATGCTTCAACTAAGACCCAGTACAACAAAATAAATAAAATATTAAAAAGAAAAGAGAGAGAGAGACTCAGTTTCCCACTCCCCCCCCTCACCCCCAGCCACGGAGAAGGCTACCAGGTCCGTCACTATACAAGATGGCCCAGCAGATAAGCCCCTTCCCCTTGGCCCAGCAGGACCTACCCTGGTGGACCAGAAACAGCCAGTAATTTGGAAATACATGCCCAGGGACCTAGACCAGGGTTCCTAATCCATGCCAACAGAGAGGGCCACGCATGCCAGGTTCCATTCGAGGCTATGGATACAAGCATGCCCGTCCTCCTGGGATTTGCCTCAGGATATTTTCACGTACACACACACACACATACACACACACCAGCAAATTACTCTCTTAAGCTTCTGTTTCCCTAACTGTAGACGATGACAATGAGAGGTGTGTTCCAGAATTCTCCCAGGACTAATTGAGATGACTGACATTTACAAAGATGCCTGGCACATAGTCATCCTTGATTACACTCCTAAATGCGTTCAGTCTGAACACCTCTCATCCAACCCCCTCCCCCCGCCACCACTGGTGGGGAGAAAGGAGAAGAAACGAATCTTATCCCTCAAGGCCTCTCCCAGGGACCTCCATCCACAGCACCTCTCCGCTGTGTGCCTCCCACATTCTGTATTTAACTCATCTGGCCATTCTTTGGGGGAAAGCTATGAATTCGTAACTAACCTTTAACTAAACACATAACACATGAATATATTCTCCTTGTTTAAAAAGAAAAGTCTGGGGGTTCAGGAGCTAAGACTCCACACTCCCAGTGCAGGGAGCCCAGATTCAATCCCTGGTCAGGGAAATAGATCCCACATGCCACAACTAAGAGTTTGCATGCCGAAACTAAAAAAGACTTCACACGCTGCCACTAAAAAAAGAAAAAAAAAAAAAAGATTCAGCAGGCCAAAACTAAGACCTGGCCCAGACAAATTAATAATTAATTAATTATTAAAAAAAGAAGTATGAACTTCACAGATAAAGCATGTTTCCCCCCACCACACCCCCAATTCCCTGAGTAACCACTTTTGTCAGCCTGGTGCACCCTTCCACAACTCTTTCTGTGCTTTTACATGCACTGATAGAAATCTAGTGAAAATACAGAGTTTCATGGAGTTTTTGTTTGTTTTTTTTTTAACAAAAAGAACCTTATAGCTTTTTTTCAATTAGTCATGTGTTCGTCCGCTTTGCTTTTCTGTGCCCAAATATATAAAGATCTAGTTCTTTCTCTCTAATCTCTGCCCAGAAATCCACTGGATAAAAGACTTCTGCTTTCCTTCCTATTCCCCTATTGAAGTATAGACCCAGATTTGTGGTCAGGATTCCTGACCATAACTGCCATGAGCTGTGTGAAACTTGACATGTCTCTGGGCTTTGTATGCCTCAGTTTCCTTATCTGTAGGAAGGGGAAACACCACAGCAGCTTACGAGAGTGTGATAACCTTCAAATGAGAAAACGGGTACATCACACATGTCATCGCCTTTGTACTTTATCATCTTGACAGGAGGCAAACTAGATCTGATTCCTGCCTCAGAGCTGAAGACATAATCCCTGGCTCACAGGTGAAGTAACTGGCTTGAGGTCCCCAGCAAGCAAAGGGACCAGCCAGGTCTGCAAACTGTGAGCTCTGGAAACTGACACCAGTTTCAAAATGGGTGCAACCCCGGCAGCAACCTGAGAAATGTAAATTATATGCATCAGATTAACCCGCCAAAATTATTCAAGATGCTAATAAATTGGTCATCACCAATAATGGCAGAGATGTGGGGGAGTGAATAGTTTCATACTCTAGATGGAACTATAAATGCTCTTGATCTTCAGAAGGGTCATTAGGCTGTGACCAAATTCAAAACGGACAGACCTTCTGGTCTGGAGGTTTCTCTTCTAGAAATGCACCCAGTGGAAGTGGTTATCCACGTACACAGAAAGGAATGTATGAGAAAATTATCAGTAAATGGAGAAACAGGTAAGTAGGTGTACAGTATTCAAAGAAATACTATGCAACCGTGAAAATGTGACAGATTTCTATGTTCAGACATGGAAAAATTTTCAAATGGTATCTGTGAATTGCAAAGCAAACTGCAGGCTGTTTAGACAGTTTAGTTCAATACTTGTAAGTATATAATACTATGTCTAAACACACATCCATGATGTGTAGCTCCATAAAAGTCTTCTTTCGAAGCTAATCTTGGATGATGGTGGTACTATCGAGAAGGGGAATAAAAGGAGCGGGGCCAGGGTGGGGCGGGGGAAGACCCTGTCTTCCCTCAACTTGAATTTTTCTTACAAACAAGAATGCATGTCCTGGGGCTTCCCTGGTGGCTCAGTGATAAAGAATCCACCTGCCAATGCCAGAGACACAGTTTCGACCCCTGTTCCAGGAAGATCCCACATGCTGCAGAACCATTACACCCGTGCACCCCAACTACTGAGGCTGTGCTCTATGGTCCAGGAACCGCAACTACCGAGGCCTCATGCCACACCACTGAAGCCCGAGTGCCCTCGAGCCCCTGCTCCGCAACAAGAGAAGCCACCGCAATGAGAAGCCTGTGCACCAAAAAGAGCCCCTGCTCACCACAGCGAGAAAAAAGCCCGCTCAGCAGTGAAGAGCCAGCACAGCCAAAAAACAAATAAATAAAATTATATTTTGAAAAAGAAAGAGATAGTTTCTCGGTTAAAAAAGAATGCATGTCTTTTATATACATGACTTCTTTCATTAACCCCAAAGCGTAAAACAGTAGAAATCAAAGCACAAGTCCTCCCATTCAAGTTGTACATGGACACGTGCAGCCAAAGCAAACACCAACAGGCCATCCCTTCCTCTCCTAACGCGCCACTCACTCAGTCTCCTGCACACAGACACTCTTCTGACGGAAGGCTCTTGGCCAGAGCTTGGCCTGAGCTGTCCAAGAAGCTATCACAGGCTGGGCTCGCCTCCGCGTCTTCACACCACTCAGTCACAGACCAATCACCTTTGGGCTATTTATGGTAAATGCTGGGTGACTCTCCCTCAAGTTTAAGCCAGGAAATCTTAGCTCCGGGACAACTGAGGGCAGTGGCGCTTTCCTGTCTGGAAGCCCAGAGGAGGAATGAGAAATTAGGTAGGGCATGCATGTGTGCATGTACATTCACACACACACGCACATCCTTCATCTGATTTCCATAAAAAGAAAACACCTGCATCAAGTCCAAGAAGGACTGGGTTGACAAGATTCTTCATCAACTATAAATTCCACTCATCCCCATTCCCCCGTCCCCAAAGCAAGACGCTCTTTGCACAGGATCACGACAGGGTTCACCATGCATACGGCACACGAGTGACCATCCCTCCAGGGTGCATATGGCACAGAAACTGCAAAATCGGCAGGCGTTTACAGCTGGCTTTCACTGAGATAAAGCCCTCACAGCTACTTTTTTTTTCTTACAGCTACTTTGAAAAGCAAAGCAAAAACACCCATTGGCCGCCATGGGATAAAAAGAAGCAGTTCTGTTGCTCTGAGGTCTCCCCACAAAACTTTTTCCCGCCACTTCACAGGCAAAATTAAAAAACCACTAAGAGGAACTCGGAACTCAATGTCACCATTGGCCAGGACCTCCCTGCAATCAGATTACAGAACTTAATGGGACAAGATTTGAGAACAAAACAAAGGACATGGTGTGGCCAAGATGACTCAGACAACCACTTGCCCAGAGACCTCGAGAAAAACCAGACGGGTATTGCTCCATCTTTAAAGCCAAAAAAATGGCAGCCGGGTCTAAGCAGATACAGCCTTCATTCATTCATTCATCTCTCAAGCATCTTGCATCGGGCATGGGGCATGGACATGAAATGTGACCGAGTCCCCATTCTCAAGAAACTCGTCTAAAGCGAGGGAAAGAGCAATCAATTAGCAAGTGACAAGAACCACATCTTTATCCCAGCTCTGCATCTTGGTTGGATCTGGGAGGCGCCAAGGTAAGCCTCAGTTTCCCCTCTGAGCCCTGCAGGTGCCGTGGCCTTGGCCTCAAAGCTCTGAATGCTTTTAGCTCGAATGTGATACCTGGAATCTGCCTGTCCTTCAGTAACTGCAGGCTCATTCAAACATGCTGCCTGGACACCCAGGGCAGAGTCTGCCGGTCTGAAGGCCAGCTGACAGCCTTCATTTGTCTCTCTGGTTGAAAGGGCAGTGGTGTATAAGGTTAGGATCAGAAGAAAACTCTCAGGCTGTGGGCTCCTGAAGGGCCCTGTTTATGCACCCTTGGGTTTATTCCTGCTCATACGTGGATCTGGGGAGCAAAGCGGCTTATCACTGCCAATCTGCATCAGGAAGGCAGTGGCAGGGGACGAGAGGGCAACCCATTCTGCCTTTAAGAAGAGGTCTGCATGGGGAGGTTTTGGACAGCAGGGACAAGTGGCGGCCTGGGCACCCATGTGAGCCTCACATGCACATGCTTGGAGGGTTCCTGTCCGCCTGCGCTCACAGGAAGCAAGCAAAGTGCAGTGCCAGTTCTACCACACACCGTCAGAGGCTGCTGTACGGTAAAGAAGCATGGGAGTCTGCCCCTGGGCTTCTCCTGGCGGTATCAGAAACACGGCCACACTCCACTCCCGCCTTGGACCCCAGACCCTTCAGGTAAGGTCAGGCTCCCGATGGTCTCTCCTCAGGCTTCCCCAACCCCAGTCCAGTGCCTCCAGCAGAAGGCCGGGGGCCCTCCTTGGCCCCCAAACTCAGCCTGCGTCCTGGGTCGGGGAGGTTCCTAGGAAAGATGGCCAACTGGCTCGCCTCATGCCCTCTGGTCTCTCCCGTGCTCAGGGGCCCCGGCCCAGGGCACGCGGATCCCGGCACCGGGTCGCCGACCCGCCGGCCGCGCGCCTGGCCTTCCCGGGCGCCCAACGCCCTCGAGCCTCGGACGGTATCCGGCGCACGGGTCCCAGGCCAAGCCCCTCACCCACCTTGAGGACCTGCTGCTTGATGATTGAGGGCACCATCACGATCATGATAATGCCCAGCACGGCGAAGAGGAGCCCGATGAAACCCAGCGCCGCGGTCACCCGGCGCGCTCTAGAGAGGTTGCCCATGTCTGCGCGCCCCGGCGCCCGCGCGGTGCTCGCGGGGTTCCGCGCCTGTGAAGGGACCGAGACGGGGACGGAAGGTGATAGAGGCAGCGACTCCGAGGACGAGGCCCGCAGCACACGGAGGAGCGGCCCAGCAGGTGGCCAGCGGTTTTATGCGCCATCACCGGGGCGGACCGCCCCCCGAGACGCCCTGGGCACCGGGATTCGGGCCGGCGCGGGCGAGCTTGGGCGAGGGGGCGGGGCCTAAGTTAGCAAGGGGCGTGTCCGAGGCGGGGCGCGGATCAGAAGGTCCGACTGGGGCGGGGCCATCGCCGGGAATCCGGCGCCCTAGCTTCCGTTTCTGCCGGAGGGAGCCCCCGGGGCCTCGTGGCCTGCGTGCAAAGTTGGACCTGGCTCCCCTCCACCTCCTAACCCTTCCCGGCTTCCTCACTCCCACCTGCTCCCCGCTCATCCCTTTCCATGAGCACTCCCATCTTCTCTCTTCTCCGCATCTCTCTCCCCCTCCTCCCTCTGTCTCCCTCCCCCCCTCCTCATTTCGCCCCTTCTCCCCTCCCACTTCCTCTGTCCTGACCGTCATCATTGTTGGTATTTAGTAGAAATTTCCCAACTCTTGCAGGAACTCCAGAGCTTCCCCCCCACCCCCGCACTCACCTCTGCGTCCAAAGCCTAGCAGACTCCTGCCTCAGGACCTCATACCCACCACGACTTGGAATTCTTTCCGCTCCCCACCCGCCCCCAGATATCTGCCGGGCTTCTTCCTTCACGACTGCTAGGGCCACGTTATCGGAAAGGCCTTCCCAGCCACCCTGTGTGAAATAGAATAGCGTCAGCTCTCCCCCACCCTTATCAAGGGGCGCCACCAGGCATGTGCCACATTCATTTGTTCTTGCTTTGTGACCATTGCCAGGCCCTAACATGCTATGGGGCCGAAGCTTTGTCTCTCTGCCCCCGCCCTCCCCCTCTCAGTAGCTTCACCGCTGCCTGGCTAGGAATGTCTGCTCACAAGGAACATTTTAGATTGAAGCGGTGAAGAGCCTTCTGTGAGCCAAGTTCTGTGCTAAGAGCCTTGCCCACACCGACTCCATTTTGCAGATAAGGAAACATGCACAGGGGGTTAGGTCAAGAAATCCAAGTCTCTGCTTTCTAATGAACAGGGAAACAGAGGATGGGCAAGTGAGGAAATGAACAATGGATTACTGACACCCCCTCCAAAATAGTAAAACATGGGCATGTGCCCCCCTGCCGTCCTCCACAAGCGCCCCCGCCCCCACCTGCTCAGAGTACCTGCAGGACCCCTACCCTGCACTGAGTCCTGGACCCCTGATGTAGGTCAGTCCCCTCATTGTCTAGTTGGGGGTCACGCAGGGGTCCCCAACACGTGGGTAAGGCAGCCCAGACCCTGAGGACTCAGAATGAAATTCTTCAACCCTGGTAGGAAACAGCCTTCTCCCAGGCCCATCCTTAAGCAACACAGGCTGGCATGAGTCAGTATGTATCAAGCACCTGCTGTGACTGCCTTGCCTAGCACTGTCTTCTCCTCAGGGGACCCACCATTGTTCAGGTTAGCAGGAACAGAGACCCAACCCCTGACCTGGATCAGGGTGGCTGGGGCAGAAGTGGCTGGATCAGGTGGCTGTAGGGTTTCCTACTCTAGGGTCCTGGGAAAAGTGGCTTGGCCCTTTCTGCGCCTCAGTTCCTTCACCTATCAAATGGAAATAAGAGCCTCTCTCCAGAATTTCCTTGGCAGTCCAGTGGTTAAGACTGCCTCTTCCAGTGCAGGGGGGTGTGAGTTCGATCCCTGGTGGGGGAACAAAGATCTTACTATGCCTCCTAACCAAAACATAAAACAGAAACAATATTGTAGCAAATACAATAGACTTTAAAAATGGTCCATGTCAAAAGAATACTAAATAAATAAATAAAAATAAAAGCCTCTCTTCAAGGGCTGTTATGAGGATTAAATGAGTGGGAAGATGTAACAGGACATACAACAGTGCCCCAAGATGAAAGCATCATAAAGCTAACTGTTCTTGTTATTGCTGCCCCAAGGTCCTAACTGTCCTGGCTTTTGCCCACCTTTTTGCCTGCATCTCCCAACCTCACCAGCTTGTTCTCTGTACCTCGGGCTCCTGGCCCTTCTTTCTGTTCCTTAAACAGCTTGTTCCAGCCACACGGCGTTTGACTATGCTATTCCTTCTGCCTGCCCTTGCCCAGATGTGACTCTTCCTCCTCCAGGTTTCACTTCAAACCTCACTCCTTAGAGAGACCTTCACTGTTGAATCTGTCCAAAATGAAAGTCCCAACCCACCAGTCACTCTTTTTTTTAAATTAATTTTTATTGGAGTATAGCTGCTTTACAATGTCGTGTTTGTTACTGAACCGCAAAGTCAATCAGCTGTACATATACGTATATCCCCTCTTTTCTGGATTTCCTTCCCATGTAGGTTTACCATCACTCTCTATCAACTCACCCCATTTTATCTGAAATTGTCTTCTTCATTTATCTGTTTGCCTCTTTCTCTCTCCAGCTCCCAAGAGAGACAAATTTGCTCATGGATGTATCCCCGGCACCTGGAGCAATGCCTGACATCTCGTACATACTCATTAAAGACTTGAAATAATTACTTCTTTAATTAATCAACCAACTCATTAATTAGTTAATACACNTGCTGGGAAAGATTGAGGGGAGGAGGAGAAGGGGATGACAGAGAAGGAGATGGTTGGATGGCATCACCAACTCAATGGACATGAGTTTGAGCAAGCTCAGGGAGATGGTGAAGGACAGGGAAGCCTGGTGTGCTGAAGTCCATGGGGTTGCAAAGAGTTGGACAAGACAGCAACTGAACAACAGCAACAAAACATAATCGACGTCGATTTCGGAGACAACCTGTAAACACCAAGTCAGACAAGGTTCCTCCTTGGCTCAAAACTCTCCCATGAAGAAAAGACAATTGGTGAGGGTGTCGACAAAGACGTGGAGAAATTGAGACTCTCATACACTGCTTGTGGGATTGTGAAATTGCAACTACTGAAACCCACGTGCCCTAGAGCCTTTGCTCCGCAACAAGAGCAGCCACCACAATAAGCCTGTCCACCACAACTAGAGAGTAGCCCCCGTCCGCTGCAATTAGAGAAACTCCAAGCCCCGCAGTGAAGACCTAGCACTGCCAAAACATAAATTAATTAATTTTCTAATAAAAAACTAAACACAGAATTACCATAAGTCCCCATTGTTCCTCTGCTGGGGCTACACAAGAGAAATGAAAACTGTGTCCACACAAACATTTGCACACGTCAGCACTATTCACAATAGCTGAAAGGTGGAAACAACCCAAATGTCCACCAGCTGATGCATAAATAAATAAAATATGAAATATCCCACAGTGGAATACCAGCATTAAATAATGAAGTGCTGATACAGGCTGCAACATGGAATGAGTTTGGAAACATTATCCCAAGTGAAAGGGGCAGTTACTAAAGACCATGTACTTTGTGATTCCATTTCTGTGAAATGTCCAGGATAGGCAAATCCATAGAGACAGAAAGCAGATTGGTGTTTGCCTACGCTTGCAGGGGAGGGGAGGTGGGGGCAGAAAAAACCAGGAGTGACTGCTAAGGATTCTTTTTTGGGGTAATAGAATGTTTTAGAATTGATTGTGGGGCTGGTGTACAGCTGTGTGAATACTAAATTCATTGAATTGTACACTTTCAATGAGTCAGTTGTATGCTATATGAACTAGAGCATCATTGAAGTATATGTCAATAAAGCTGTTACAAAGCAAACAACAGAACTTTCCTACATTTCCCACCTCACTCAGAGTAAAAGTCAAAGTCCTCGTCACAGCCCACAAGGTTACCCTCATCTCCCTGACCTCGCTTTCTCCTCTCCCTCAGCACAGACAAATAAATAAGTAAATGAACATACCTCTGCACCTGGGCTTCCCAGGTGGCGCTAATGGTAAAGAACCTCCTTCCCAATGCAGGAGACTAAGAGACTCAGGTTCAATCCTTGGGTGGGGAAGATCCCCTGGAGGAGGACATGGCAACCCACTCCAGTATTCTTGCCTGGAGAATCCCATGGATGGAGGAACCTGGCCAGCTACAGTCCATGGGGTCACAAAGAGTCTGACACGACTGAAGCAGCTTCGCACACATGCACACACCTCTGGAGCCAGGTTGCATAGCTGGTTGGTTTTGGGCAAGTCACTTAACCTCTCTGTGCCCTGCTGCTGCTGCTGCGAAGATGCTTCGGTTGTGTCCGACTTTGTGCGACCCCATAGGCGGCAGCCCACCAGGCTCTCCCGTCCCTGGGATTCTCCAGGCAAGAACACTGGAATGGGTTGCCATTTCCATCTCCAATGCGTGAAAGTGAAAAGTGAAAGTGAAGTCGCTCAGTCCTGTCCGACTCCCAGCGACCCCATGGACTGCAGCCTACCAGGCTCCTCCGTCCGTGGGATTTTCCAGGCAAGAGTACTGGAGTGGGGTGCCATTGCCTTCTCCCTCTGTGCCCTGGCTTCTTCCTTATCTAGGCAATACCGATCATCTCAACAGTGCCCACTGCCTGGTGTGAGTTTATCCTGGTTACATGCTTAACACGGTGCCAGCAATACAGGGGATCAACACTTTGTGCAGGCTGTCACATGTTGTCTGCTCCACCCCAGCCCAGGAAGAATCATTAACACCCAGAGCAAAGCATGAGAAGTGTTGCTGGGAAGCTGAATGACTCGATTCAGAGAGTCATAGCCAATGAGTGTCAGAGCCAGGATGGAAAAAGTCACTTGGCTCCATAGCCCAGATGTGAATTACTACTCTCTTTGCTGAAGAAAAAGTGGAGAGAGGGAAAAGAGGAAGTAGCTGGGTAGATAGTGGGAAGAGTGAGAAAAAGCACAGGGGAGAAAGAAAACGTCAACCAGGAAGCAAAAACTATCACTTTGGGCCACATCTGGAGCCTATGTCACTGCGGTATGTGGGGTCTTCTTTGCAGGATGGGAACTCTTAGTGGCGGCACGGTGGGATCTAGCTCCCTGATGAGAGGTCAAACCCCTGGGGGCATCCTTCATTGGGAGTGCGGAGTCTTAGCCCCTGGACCATCAGGGCAGTCTATCACTCAGTTGATGAACACATACTGTGAACACCTATTATGTGTCAGTCACTATTAGTGACTAGGGACCCAGCAGTG